TTCACATCAGCTCTAGTGCTTGTTAGGTCTTTCCACTAGCTGGCACAACTAGTTACCCTGTAAGAAGCTCTTCATTTTTTGGTGGATTAGCATGCTGAATCAACCTGCAGGGGAAGTCCAAGGAGCATCTATGCAAAAGCTGACGAAGGAGCAGGACCTTCCCTTTTTGGCAATTAGGAGCTGCTACACCACCTCAGCTGTTGTCTGTCCTCCCTTACCTATAGTTAAAATCAGCTGGACATTTATACCAGGCTATGCCAATCTAAATCAGAGCTATTATGGCATTACTCTCCCACCCTAACCCCGACCAAACACAACCATCCTCTTCCCTATGCACCAGCCCTGGTATTTCTCTTCTCATCAGTGAGCTAATTAAACAAAGAAAACCACTATTTTTTCCAACAGTTTCGCCAGTTTAATACCTCAGCAAGCACCAGTTGCAACATGATTGGTGCATGCCATCACGGAACAAAATAAAGTAATAATAGGATTTCAGCACTTCCAAAAATTACAGCAGGTATTTAGCTGCGTATCTTTTCAATACAAAAGTCTGACCCCAGCTCTTCAAGTTTACCTCATCCCCACTTACGTTTTATTCATATATTATAATGGATGAATTATAAACAAAAAACATTCTCTTTCAACTGCTAGTCAAGCTTTTAAATCAAAACCTTTTCTTCTCAATAAACATTAAAACATTCGTATTTGGAAAAAATATGTACGTAACAGCATCTGCTACACCACAAAGACTGAATAAGCAGCTTAGGCATGATTTTGTAACATTTACAAAGCTTGAGCTGATCTTAAATTAGAGATGTTTTCTTTCTGATTACGATTAGGAAAATATTCTAATGTGTTAGAAGGTTAGGACTCAAACTGATAATGTGCGCGTGCTTCAAAGTAGATTGAAACCCTAACCAGGCTTATTAATCCCAAATCTAAAAATATTTAATATAAATTCAACATCCAAGTTTTTTGCGTGTGTAATTTCACAATTTTTCAAACTGGTAAACTTCTACAAAAGTGAAACAGCATTTTTTGTTAAACTAGTTTCACTTTCTGGACTCATTTACTTAACAGGCTATGAGTTCCTGTTTGAAGACCTTTCCTGTCGAATTAAAAAAATTTTATATTTATATTGTTTATTGTTCAAGTCTTATAGCTCTCGCATTAAAGTCTTACCGACTCTCTAGAATGCAATAATTTAAGGTTCTTCCTCACTTAAGGATGAGTTCTTGTGAATTCCTTCTTAACAGTCATCACAAGATTTTCCAATAGGGAGGGAGGGAGGGAGGGAGAGGGAAAAAGGCAAGAGGCACAGTAGCAGCATTACTTTCCACCTGCATTTTCAAACCCCGGCTCGTCGTCGACCCGTCAAGTTGCTGAGGTAAGTCCTAAAGCTGAGTTGTTATTCTTCCCTAGCGCACTGTCTCAACGCAGCATTAAACAGCATACTGCTTTCCTAACACACCCTCCCTCTAGCATACCTAGCACACCACCGCACAGTGGCAGTCATCTTCAGTTCCTCTAGGCAAATGGTTGAGACTGGGGCTTCAGTGGCAATACTGGGTTAAGGAGACTTCCTGTCCTATGCCCTACATAATTTCTGACTTGCATCAAGAACCATTTCAGGACACGGATCCTAGTTTAAATCACTGAAAGAAAAGAAAATTTTGTTCTTTAAATGCTGATTGGTTTCCTGGTTCAGCATGCAGTGCAGCCATGCAAACAGATGTCTGCACAATTCAATGGATGTGAACAAACGTCAGCCAAGCCTGTTATTGCTGCTGCCACCCCTGTGTCAGGGAACTCATCCCATAGGTGGATCACGGCTTTCAGAGCCCCTTTATGTTTCTCCTGACCCTTAATCTGAAGTAAAGAAGCCACAATAGCACAAAGAACTCGTCTTAGCTTTTCTTCAAGAAAGCAAAACGCTCAGAGGAAAAAACCTCTTCCTTCCTTGGTAAAATATCATGGCCAACAAGCAATAAAAGCCTTATTATCCCTTGGAACAACGTCCATGAAGTGAAAAACAATACCTGTTTGATCTCCATATCCCACTGACTTTTTATTGCTCTCTGCAGCAGGAATCCCCTACAACTCTCAATGCTATCACTGGTATAACGCCGATGTAAGTACGTGACAATACAGAATAGGAAGTAATTCAGCATACTGACTGTGGCTCTTTAGCAACATGGCGAACTTCAGCTCACACCAGAAGAGAGCTAGTTGCGAACATTTCACAATAATGCTGCGTTTAATTAACAAAACTTGTAAGCAATTGGTGAAACTTGAGACAAAGGTCCTGAATACCGCGATGCCTAAACCAGCATGTGCCCCAACATCTTTGTCCAGCATTAGAGGTTACAGAAGTTTAATAGCCACATTTTTTCAGCCAAGGAATTACTCGAGGCTGAGACCTGTGATTCTCTGCCCCTTGAGATACCAAAAAAAGCAGACAGTTCCTTTTAACTTTTAAGATTAGATTAGTACATTTAGTACCAGTAACAGGAAGAAGAGGACATTAAAGTATTTACTTGGAAAGGAAAGATAGAACTAGATAGATTAAAGTAAAAATTCACACAAATTCAGGAATTTCAAGGGAAGAAGAAAGAAACTTAGTCTTTAAAATGTTCTAATACTGACCCCTACCTCTTCTTCCCACCTTCCTGCCCCCCCACCCCGAGTCGGGCTGGAAGAAACATCTGTCCCACAGCAGAGGGTTTCTTTTTTTTTGTTTAACAGCATACCTTTCAAATAAGCATTTCCAATTCATTTGTCAACACTGTTCAAGCAGCAAATTACCCGAAGATTGGAATCTTACAACCATTTGAAGGAAAACTCAACGAAATATCTACTTATCTGTCCTAATCTGTCTCGTAAGAGGCAAAGGAGCTACTCTTCCAGATCCTATCTGGGGGGACAATCCCCCTCCTCAGTAACCAAACACAAACCCACCACCCACAAAAAAAAAGCACCCAAAAACCCTCT